CCCGCCGACCCCTCCATCGGGACGGCGACCCCAGCCCTGGCCGTCTCCGCGCGGTGGCCACGCTCGCCGCTGCCCATCCGCGGCCTCTTTCCCGCAGACCTGGGTGGTGGGTTCCTATCTCTGGAACCTTCGGCTGCTCCCCCGCCCGCCCCCGCCCTTCTTGGTCTCACCCCCTTCTTCCGTTCCCTCACCCTCCTGTCACTTGGGACCCGCTATCTCCGCATCGGGCCACCTCCCAGCCAGCGCCGTCTCGCAGGTGTCTACACGTCTGGCCGTCCCTGCTGGGGCCGGAACTGACCATGCCCAGCGGCTGCCGCTGCCTACATCTCTTGGTCCTGTTGTGCATCCTAGGGGCACCGGGTCGGCCTGCCAGAGGTGAGCGCGCCCCTGGGCTCGGGTCCCGGCCCTGTCCAGCAGTCCTCGCTTGCGCGTTGACATCTGCCGGCTAGAGACGGCACTGCAGCCGCTCCATTGGGCCCATGGCGAGGCCCGGACCAGCCAATTACTAAAACCTCTCCTGAGCCCCATCCTAGGAAACCACACTCTGACCCAGACTCAGGCCTACTGCCATCAATCTCTTTCAGCGGATGACTGCAGCTCCCACTGTGACCTGGCCCACGGCTGCTGTGCTCCCGACGGTTCCTGCAGGTACTTAGGCTGAACACAGTGCTCAGATCCTTTGCTGCTCATTTTTCCAGCACTCTACACCCACAACCAGGTCAAAACTCAAGTCAGTGTTCCGGAATGTGTCGTTGTACAGAGGGTCAGCCTCCCCCTCCGAAATCCTGAAACATTGCCCTTCAAGAACCTGTAGAAACACCTGAATCTTGGGAGCTTACAGACTGGGAGCCACAGGAACCAGAAAGATAAATGAAAAAGAGGTGTCACTTGGGGAAGAAAGGCTGTGGAGGATGGCTGTGGAGCCGGACTCTGATCAAAGAGGCTCTTTTTTGGAGAATTTGAGCAGTTAGCTCACAGGGATGGAGGTTGGGCAAATTCTGTGGCAGAGTTTGGATATAAGAAGTGAGCTGACAAGGGTGGGTTGTTACATGGGGTGGGGGTATTTGAGATTGGACACCCTTGGATGGCTTCAAAAAAATGGGTCACAGAGCCTGGTGTGGTGATTCATACTTGAAATCTCAGTGCTTAGGAAGTGGGGGCAGGAAGATCAGGAGTTCAAGGTCATCCTCACTACATAGCAAGTTCCAGGCCAGCCTAAGTTACTTGAGACAATGCTTAAAAAAAAAAAAAAAAAAAAGCCAGCTGTTTTGCTTTGGAGTCTGGGAAGACAGCCCTGATGACCTTTCAAGGTCATTCTTTTTCAAATATGAGTGAACAGACATGCTGGCAGTGGTACAGGGGAGCACTTACATTGTCCTTAATCCTAACTTCTCTTCTTTTTCAATTTTTTTTTTGTCTTTTTGAGACAGGATCTCCTTGTAGCCCCAGCTGTCCTGGAACTCACTATGTAGACCAGGCTGGCCTCAAACTCACAAAGATCCACCTGCCTCTGCCTCCTGAGTGCTGGGATTAAAGGCATGTGCCGCCACGCCTGACTCTTTTTCTATTTTTAAAAAATATTTTATCATTTTTATTTTTTTATGTGTATGAGTGTATTGCTTGCATGCATGTGAGTGCACCTGTGTGGTGAGGGCTTTGGATTCCCCTGGAATTGGAGTTGAGGATGGTTCGTAGCCACCATGTGGGTGCTGGGAATCGAACCTGAGTCCTCTGCAAGAGCAGTCAGTGCTCTTAACCGCTGAGCCATCTCTCCAGCCTCTTCTTTTTCTATTTTAAAATTTATTTTTCTATTCATTTGTTGTTATTTTATGTATATGAGTGTTTTGTCTGTGTGTATGTAAGTGCACTTGTGTTGTACAATGCCCACAGAGGCCAGAAGGGGGCGTGGGATCCCCTGGAACTGGAGCACGGATGGTTGTTAGCTGCTATGTAAGTGCTGGGAACTGAACCCAGGTCCTCTGCAAGAGCAGCCAGTGCTCTTAACCACTTGAGCTATCTCTCCAGTTCCCCCCGCCTCCTTTTTTTTGAGACAGGGTCTCACTATGTAGCAGCTCTGACTCACCTGGAACTCTTTCTACGTAGACCAGGCTGGCCTTGAACTCACAGAGATCCATTGCCTCTGCATCCTGAGTGCTGGGATTAAAAGCCTGAGCCACCATGTCTGGCTGTCTTAATTTCTTTTTTAAAAAATATTTATTATTTTTATTTTATGTGTAGGAGTGTGTTGCCTGCATCTGTGTGAGTGCACCCGTGTCATGCAATGCCGTGGAGGTCAGACAACGGCTTTGGATTCCCCTGGAACTGCAGTTAAGGACGGTTCACAGCCGCCATGCGGGTGCTGGGAATCGAACCCAGATCCTCTGCAAAAGCAGTCAGTGCTCTTGGCCACTGAGCCATCTCTCCAGCCCCCTCTCTTAATTTCTTTAACACTATTAACCCTTCAAGGGAGATGTTTCCTCAGTTCCCAGGGGGAGGGGAGAAAACAGATCCTAAAAGGTTAGACAAAAGCACAGATCTTGAACTTGAATGCCATTGTCTGGTGGTCTGATTGCGCGTGTCCTGTGACCCTGCACAGCCCTCCTTATCCTTGGGACTGGTCTGCTTGTCCGTTGGGGTTGCCATTTCCTTATTGGTTTCTAGAAGCTCTGGCTTCACCCCCTTCATTTCCTCACTCCCCTCTACCTGCCCCCAAAGCCCTGATCCTATTTCTTCCCATCAGGTGTGACCCAGGCTGGGAGGGACTGCACTGTGAGCGCTGTGTGAGGATGCCTGGCTGCCAGCACGGTACCTGCCACCAGCCCTGGCAGTGCATCTGCCACAGTGGCTGGGCAGGCAAATTCTGTGACAAAGGTAGGAGAGAAGGGAGCTCTGGCTGGGGAGCCCATGCGTTCTAGAATACCCTTTAATATTTACTGTTTACTAGTTACCTATTGTGTCATGTTCAAATCCTCAAATATTTTATCCTTTTTGATTCCATACCTACTTGATGTCTGAATGGATCCTCAACATAACCCCATGAGGTTGGAAAGGCAGCTGCTAAAAGTTGTACCCATTTTGGCCAGGCACGGTGGCACATGCCTTTAATTCCAGCCCTTGGGAGGCAGAACTGTGAGTTGTAGGCCAGCCCGGTCTACATAGTGAGTTCTAGGCCAGCTTGGGCTACAGGGAGACCTTGTCTCAAAATAACAACAAAACCAAAAAACAACCAAGTAAAATTGTATCCATTTTAAAGATAAGGAAACTGAGGTCCACAGAATAGCTATAACTTGTCCAAAGTCAGTTGGGCACAGAGTGCCAGAACCATGGCCAGAACTTCCAGAGCCCTACTTCAGTGTGGCTTTCCCCAGTATAACACACTAGCCTGCGGTGGCTTTGTAGTATGAGCCACAATCAGAGAACTTTGGGTCTAGACCACACGGGTCCTGGGCAGGTCTGTGGACTATGTGAGGGTTTTTTTTTTTTTTTTTTTTTTTTTAATCTCCCTTCAGATGAGCACATCTGTACTTCACAATCCCCCTGTCGGAATGGAGGCAAGTGTGTATATGATGGGGGTGGTGAATACCACTGTGTGTGCCTACCAGGCTTCCACGGACGTGACTGTGAGCGCAAGGCTGGACCCTGTGAGCAGGCAGGGTGAGTGCTGGGCTCCTGGGGAAGAGAGACTAGAATCTGGTACTGAGGAGAGAGGCAAGCCTGTCAGGAGAGTCGGGGACTGAGGGTCAGACCCACACAAAGGAACCTCAGGATAAAGACCCCACTGTGACAGTGTTCCTGGTCCAGAGTCTTAACTTTCTCATACTCAAACTGTTTCCTCTCTGGGAGCTTGAGGTATAACAGACAATATAACTGTTTAGGTGGGGGAGGGTGGCGAGGGGAGGTTGAGGGATCTAGGACTCCCTTCACCTTCCTACAAAGCAAGCACGTGGCTTTGACATGGCTCTACAGCAGCCTTTTGCCTGTGGAGATGAGACGGCCCACAGGGCTGGACTTGTCCCTGTTTCCGCTTGAGGCCTAAGAGCTTGTGAGGACAAGAATAGCACGGTATCTGAGCCCTGCCTTTGGGCCTGACCCTGTGCTAACTGCTCGACATTGGGTGCTCTCCTTTAACCCTCACAATTTGGGAAGCTGGCTACTATTTTTATTCTCATTTTAAAAAGAAAGCTATTTAAAACTCAGAGTAGCCCAAGGTGACACAGCTAGGAAGGGGAGGCGATGGTCTGGCTGTTGACCATCAAGTCGGTACCAGCGTCCTCTCCCACTCCCTCCTCAGTTCTCCATGCCGGAATGGCGGGCAGTGCCAGGACAACCAGGGCTTCGCCCTCAACTTCACATGTCGCTGCTTGGCAGGCTTCGTGGGTGCCCGCTGTGAGGTCAATGTGGATGACTGCCTGATGCGACCTTGTGCTAATGGTGCCACATGTATTGATGGCACAAACCGCTTCTCCTGCCTCTGTCCCGAGGGCTTTGCTGGACGCTTCTGCACAATCAACCTGGATGACTGTGCCAGCCGCCCATGCCAGAGAGGGGCCCGCTGTCGGGACCGTGTCCATGACTTTGACTGCCTCTGCCCCAGTGGCTATGGTGGCAAGACTTGTGAGTTTGTCTTACCTGTCCCAGAGCCTGCTACCACAATGGGGACCCCACTAGAGCCCACCTCAGCTGTAGTGGTACCTGCTACGAGGCCAGCCCCCCACACTGCAGGAGCAGGCCTGCTGAGGATCTCAGTGAAGGAGGTGGTGCGGAAGCAAGAGGCTGGAGTAGGTGAGTCCAGCCTAGTGGCCCTGGTGGTGTTTGGAGCCCTCACTGCTGCCCTGGTCCTGGCCACTGTGTTGCTGACCCTGAGGGCATGGCGCCGGGGCATTTGCCCTGCTGGACCCTGTTGCTACCCAGCCCCACACTATGCTCCAGCCCGGCAGGATCAGGAGTGTCAGGTCAGCATGCTGCCAGCAAGGTTCCCCCTGCCACCTGACCTGCCCCCTGAGCCTGGCAAGACCACAGCGCTGTGATGGTGGTGGGGGCTTTGTGGCCCCCTTCCTCACCTCCTCCACAACTCAGACTGGAGTGGTCCTTTCTCAGCAGCCTTCAGCTTGGGACTACTCATTGATGGGACTTCAGCCTTACACCAGAAATAATATTTTTTTAATACACAGAATGTAAGATAGGAATTTTATCAAATAAAACTATGAAATTCAAGCGGGCTTCTATGGCAGAAAAACTGGCCTAGTATCCTGGGTGAAGAGGTCAATGGTTGGCCTGGTTCTGGGGAAGCTTCAGCCTTCAACCCGCCAAGGAATGGTTTTCACAGAGGAACCCAGGATGCCCTCTCTTCTCTGGAGAGGTAAAGGAGAGGCAGGGCCACAGAGGAGAATGCAAACAAGCAGCTAGCTCTGCCCAGGTCAGATAGAGGGGAGATCCGGTAGGAGGCTCAGCGCCCTGCAGGAGGGGGCTGGGAGCTTTGCTGGTTGCTCTGCAGCAGCTGCTGGAACAGTGAATGAGGCCGGTTGCGCAGGATGGAGGGGGAGTCCAGTTCCACCACCCTCCCAGCTTGGAGCACCAGCACCCGGTCAGAGTTTAGAATTGTGTTGAGCCTGTGTGGAAGGAGACTGTCAGCATTGGGAGATAGGGGTACAATGCCCTAAAGGAGAAAGTTGACTTAATCTCTCTCCCATGCTATGGAGGAGGGGGCTATAGAGTTCCCTCAGATATATGCTACAGAGGGCCCTAGTTGTGCCTAGAGGTAGAGGAGCTGAGATGGCCTTAGTCCTTGAAATCCTTGCAAGGGTCAGAGATCTGGGCCTTTACAGTCCCTGATTATTCTCACACCTGTGGGCAATGGTCAGCACGGTCTTGTTGGCAAAACGTTTACAGATGGTCTGCTGGAGCAGCTGGTCTGTCTTCTGGTCCACACTTGCTGTAGCCTCATCAATGCACAAGATCTGGACCGTATGGAGCAAGGAGAGGGCAGAGGGTGGGTAGCAGGGGGAGGCTGTAACCTACCTCTGTACTTTCCCTGAAACCTCTCCTTCCCTGACACATTGCTCCCTCGACTGTCTCTTCCTCCTATCTTACCTTGGCATCTGTAAGAAGAGCCCTGGCTAGACACAGCAGCTGCCTCTGTCCTAGGGACAAGTTCCGGCCCCTTTCACCCAGTTCTCCGTCCAGACCACCTGCAAGGCAGAGCATCTCTGCTATGGACAGGTCACTCCCTGTTTTTTCCCTATGCTCCAGGCCAGGGCCCAGCACTCACCCACAGAGATGATCACCTCATTCAGGTGGCACTGATCCAGGGCCTGCCACAGGGCCCTGTCTTCATGTAGGCCCTGGGGGTCCAAGTTTTCCCGAACAGTCCCACTGAACAAAAAAGGCTCCTGAGGGATGACAGCTAGCTGGGATCTGGGGAACAAGAACATGGGGTCCAGGCTAGAGACGTGACTACATCTATGGGTGTGGCACTGAAGGAAAATCTGGGAATGAGATCCAAATATTACCCCCTGTGCTTCCCACCCATAGCTAGTCACCTACCTAGAATAGGGCCAGTACTGTGAGCAGTACCAAAGAAACCAAAAGCCTAGACTCTGGCCTTAAGGAGCCTAAACCTCACTAAAGTTCAAAGCCAGAGAACAAATGGGCTAAACTATGGCACTGACTCTAGAGACAGCAATGGCTAGGCAGGCAATGGCCAGAGCAGGAATGGGATGAAGATACCTCAGGCTGGAGGAGGCTAAGGAGCTACAAGGTCAAGCCATAAGATGAGGCCATCACAACTTAGAGAAGGCAGAAGAGGCAGGGCAGGGAGCAGTCACTGGAGCTTAGGCTGCACTTTCCTCACCTTTCCCATGTCATAGAACTGGGAGAAAATGGTATTAATCCAAGGACAGGTTGGGGCATATCTAGTGTCAAATGAAATCACTTGTGGCCAAGCGCAATTGTCCCCATGGTGCCCATGTACTGCTTGCTGAGCCTGAAGGCTGAAGACACATGGCATCTTGGAGCTCAGAGTCAAGAGGCACTATTTAGAAGGCAATGGCTAATGTCTGGAGTGGAAAGTGTATCCTGGCAAGAACAAGAGGAGCCGAAGTGTGTGCAGGTCTGGGATGAGGAAGACCCTGCAACCGCCACCTATGACCGTGGACCTGAGCACCAGGACTTGACCATCCTTGCCTGCCCACCTCATCCTCCTTGTCTGCTGGTGGCTGTCCTGAGTTTACACACACACTTTCCTAGCAGTAGTTTCCACTGCCCTCCTCCCTCCTCACCAACCTCCTGGGTTCCCCAGACCTGAGTTCAGCCAGCTCCAGCTGGCTGGTGTCGACACCGTCCAGCAGCACCCGCCCTGCAGTGGGCTCCAGCAACCGGAAGAGCACCATGAACAGGGAAGACTTGCCAGAGCCTGTGCGGCCTACAATGCCCAGCTTCTCTCCAGGCTGCACACAGAAGGTCACTCTGTCCAGGGCATTTGGCAACCCTGGCCGGTATACCAACACCACGTCCTGGAATTCCACACTTCCCTGGGTCAGCCATCCAATGCTCTTCTGGGGAGTCCATAGGTAAGAGATGACGGAGGGAAGAGAAGACTGGGTGAGGATGGGGTTGGAGGTTGGAAGGAGGCAGGTGAATGAGGAATGGCTGGTCTTCAGGGAACTGGGGAGAGATGGGAGGATGGACACGAGGACGACAGACACAGTCAAGAATGGTGGCAATCAAATGAAGATGCTCAGGGAGGTGAGAAAGATGGTGAGGGGCAGAAGGAAAGGAGCTGGGATGATGGAGACCTTCGAGAGGACCCCATAGTGTCATGCAGCTCTGGCCTAGTGTGGCAGGCATACCCACCTGCAGCGGCTGGCCCTGGGGCTCCTGGGGCAGGTCACAGGAATATTCCTCCAGCCTCTCGACGCTTACCATCATAGTTTCTGTCTGTGTGAAGCTGCTCACCAGCCCCGAGAGCAGGCCCGTCAAAGACAAAGCATAAGACAGCGACAGGCCTACCAGCCCTGGGGAGAAGAATACCAGCTGCTAGGGGCCACCTGGACACACAGAGACACGGGGTGGGAGGGTGGGCAGAACAAGAGAATCCAGGTTTGGACTGTAGGTGTTTAAGGGAGGAGCTGAGGGAGGAGGCAGATGATACGGTTCAGATGAGGGGCACAGAGGGCTGGATGCAAGGGAATGGAGTAGGCCTGGAGAGGACGCTATGAAAGGAGGCAGGAGGGAGACTGAGGGAGGATGGAGCCAAGGTGGAGGGGCTGGAGGGATAGGCGCAAGGAAGGGATGGAGATCAGAAGACGGGGTCTAGTACCAGATCCACCACCACCTGTGATACAAGTCACTACAGTTAAGATGGGGGTGGCAATGGTAATGATGAGGAACCCTCACAGGGAACAACGGTAGGAGGTGACAATGGCAAGGGAGGGGGACATGCTGGGTGGTCTAATGACTTGCTCCTGACGTAAGGGTGATGAATCCCAGGCAGGCACCTGGGTTGGCGAGGCCCTGCTGGTGCTGTACCAGGGCAATGCCTGAGATGGCACTGACTACTGCTGCCCCCATGAGCTGCAGCCGAATGTCCAGCCATTGCATTGTGGCGTAGGAAGCAAACTGGCACCTCTGGTTTAGCTCCAAGAGTCGCTGGTTCTCCTCCTCAAACCTGGGGAAAGCCAGGAGGGAAGGGAAGCCACTCAATGCCACGCTGACACCACCCAGTCCCTAGGCCACACCTCCTTCCAGGAAGCTGACCTGTACATCCACCCACAGACCTTACCTAGGCGACACAGATACTCACAGATGCTCTTTGGAAGGGGGCCCTGCTTTATTCTCTTTTTTCCCTTCTCACTATCTCCCCAAGGAGGCCTGAACTTCCCTCTCCCTCAACCTCTTCACTGTTCCCCCTCCCCTAGCACTTCATTCCCTGGGCTTTGGCTGAGCGATGCACCTGTAGGTGGCTCCTGCAGCCCGGAGCACAGGGAGGCCAGCCAGGGTGTCGGCCAGGTGGGTGTAGAGTGGAGACAGGGTGAGGCTGCCCAGGCGCCGCAGCTCTCGGGAGGAGGCCCTGTAGTGGCGCTGCACGCCGTAGTAAATGAAGCTCAAAGGCGGCAGCAGCAGCAGCAACCAGGGCAGACCCGAGCCCAGCACAACCAGGAGGCCCAGCAGGCCTGCTGAGTTGGCCAGCAGAATGTTGAGGAGGAAAGGCAGGCTGTCGTCCACACAGGCCACGTCGGAGGAGAAGCGGTTCAAGACCCGGCCCGTGGGTGTAGAGTCAAAGAAAGTCACTGGTGCCTGGAAGAGGGAGGTAGATAGACAAGGGAAGGATTGGAGAAAAGGAGTTAGTGGGCGGTCTGGAGTGAGGTGGGAAGAAGACCCTGCAGTAGAGAAAAGGAAGCAGAGGATCTGGTGGCACCTGGAGGGAGAATTTCTCAGGGCAGGAAAGATGCTCTACTGCCTGTAGCCAGGGGCGATCTCACAAGGCCAAGGGAACCATTCCTTGTCCTCTGGGTTGGACATGCCTATTGCCCTTTTCAAGGGCAGAGAGTAATCCCTCTCCATAAGATGGGCACTTTAGACCAGCAAGTCAGATTTAGTTGGACATCAGGAGGAGCATTCTGATTTGCCTGTGGCTGGAGAGTGGTACTATCAGTCAGTCATGGTTAAGAGCTCAGGCTCTTAAATTTTAAGAAGGGGGGGGCTGGAGAAAGGGCTCAGCAGTTAAGAGCACTAGCTCTCTTGCAGAGGACCTGGGTTCGAATTCCAGCACCCATATGGAGGCTAACAACCATCTACAACTCCAGTTCCAGGGTCCGACGCCCTCTTCCCATCTTTGCCGGCATTGCACAACTGGGTGCATTTACATGCATGCAGGCAATACATTCATACACACAAAATAAAAATAATAAATAAAAAAAATTTTAAAAAAGCTCAGGCTCTGAGCTAGCATAGTGGTACATGCTTATAACCCCATGGGTGACGGCAGGAGGATCAGGAGTTCAAGTCATCCTCGGCTATTTCTCAGGTCGGAGGCCAGCCTGGGCAACATGAGACTCTGTTCCAAACCAGCCTAAGCTGCATAGTGAGACAGCTACTCTGCCCCACAGCCTCTGGGTCTCAGAGACTGTCACATGCTGCCCCATCTATGACAGGCTACTGTGCCTCACTAGGAATGTAGAATGGGGCCCGTGATGGAGTCCATGCACCGGGAGGGTACAGACCTGGGGATATTCCGCCCCCCATCCCCTCACCATAAGGACTCGATACAGCAGGCGGTGATGGAGGGTGGCAGCTGCTTGGAGGGCACCTGCTGCGAAGAGCACTGCCCGGAGGAGGGTGAAGAGAGAGTTGACACCAGCAATGGTCGCATATACGATGAGGTAGAAGCGGATGTCTGAGGAGCCATTGGGGGCAGCTTTGGACAATGGGAACACTGGGGTGCTGGGTGGTGGGGAGGGGACTGTAGGTGACCAAAAGGAGGGCCACTCAGAGGTCCCTTCCCCAGAACCACATTTCCTCACCCTCTAAGAGACAGAGCCCCAAACATCCCCACATCCTGGAGGCTGTTGGAGAACACTGGGCCTGCTCCCAGCCTCAGCACTCACAAGAAGCTTCCAGGGGAGAAGAGAAGCAGCTGCGGGGAGAGGAGCCCCATGGAGCCTGAGCTGGAGGAAGCCGGCTCCTCCTTGGAGCTATTCCTGGCAGCCTTCAGCTGGGAGATCCAGTGAGAGAGCCACCAGTCATCAGCGTTGCGTGTGGCTGGATGCGATGAGAAGGGAGAAGTTGGAAAGAGTCAGCAGCCCTTGATTAAGTGTTACCTTCCACACTTTCTCCAGCTTCCCACCTTGCCACAATCCTTGATTGTTCCTACCCTACACTTCTTTGCTGGGCCTATGACCCTTCTGCTCTGTGAACAGCATGACCAAATTTGCAGAAAGGAATTCACCTGAGTGGCAGATCAAAAGCTGGCTATGGAGGCCAGGCATGGTGGTGCACACCTGTGATTCCCACGCTCAGAAGCTGAGGCTGGAGGGTTTGCAGATTCAAGGCCTGCCTGAACTTTATAACAAGCTCCAAACCAGCCTGAGCTCCACAGTGAGACCGTGTCTCAAAAACCTCTAGTAATAATAATTCATTTAAAAAAGATGGCTATGGCCGGGTGTGGTGGTGCATGTCTTTAATCCCAGCACTCTGGAGGCAGAAGCAGGGGGATCTCTGTGAGTTCGAGGCCAGCCTGGTCTCCATAGCGCATCCAGGTCAGCTGTGGCTACAGGGAGACCCTCTCTCAAAAAGACCAAAAAAAAAAAAAAAAAAGACGGCTATGATGGAATACACAGTTGGCTGGCCTCCAGGACTCAGAATTGGGGTCCACCTTTTATCTCAACTGTTGTTCAAACTTGGGGAGGTTTTAGGCTTTGTGGTGATTACCATAAGGTAAGTGCAGTCATGGGTACCTGGATAACATGGATGTTGGGGGGATGGGACTTCTGGGGGACATTCTCACCTTGCATGAGAAGCAGAGAGATGAGGGTGGCGAGGGCCAGGCCGCTGCCCACGGCCTTCCAGTATGCTCTATACACGTGCAAGGCCACAGCACCTTCCTTCTTGCTTTCTTCCTGCAGCAGGCGGCCAGATGTGCTCTGCTCCACCTCCAGCCCCTCTGTCATCTTCTCCGGGTTCTGTACTGACTGAGACTTCCCTGTAAGAGTTAAGGAGGCCACAGAGAAATTACGCTTTCAGGATGGCAGTTGAAAACTCAGCCCCTAAGACTGGTGGCATACTTAGCAGTAGAGCATTTGACTAGCATGGACAAGTCCCCAAGTTTGACCCCCAGGACTACAAGGAAAAACAAAAACCAAAGTAGCCACAAGCCTTTAGCATGGTATGGTAGTGCACATGTAATCTCAGCACTCGGGAAGATTGTGAGTTTGAGGCTAGTCTAGGCGTATAGTGAGTTCAAGGCCAGCCTGGGCTATATAGTGAGCTCTTGTCTCATATCCTCCACCACACATATACATAAGGAGAAAAATAAAAACAGCTCCTTCCTCCCACTTGGGGCCACACCTGAGTCAGGCACTTGTTCATCCTTAGCCCAGGTTTTGGGGCCAGCCTGCACCAATGGCAGAATCTCAGAAGGAGGACCTGGAAGGTAGAAGGGGAGATTAGAGGTAGCCCTTCTGGCTCTATACTATGCTTTTCTAAATGTGTATGTAGTCCCACCTTCCCTTCTCTCTGGCCATCCTCCTTAGGCCACCTGAGTAGGATTCTGCCCTGGGTCATCCAGACTGAGTAGGACTCATTAAGTCCACTGCTGTACACCTGGAGTCCAGCCAGCAGAGGGACAAAGGAGAATGACCATCACGAGTAAGCACCCATTTATAGCCTGCACCCTATCACCTGTCACTATTGCAGAGCCTTTTCTCAAGCTCTAACTCAGTTCTTGATATACTGGTCGAGCCTCACTTCTTCCTGTTTCTCTACCAGTAAACTTTGCAGGTGGTCATATCCCTCTGAATAACAATTCTTCCTAGCTTTGTTCTTTTCATTCCAAAAAAAAAAAAAAAAGGGCCATTCTAAAGCTCACTGCTCCGAAATTCTAAAGCTCACTGCTCTCTTCTTTAAAGACACATGACTACTTTCAAAGATCCTGGACCTTTAAGTTCCAAGAGCACTACATCCCCAGGCACATCACCAGCATGTTCCTCTTCCCTCCTGTCCTCCTGTTTCCTCATACTGGTTCTGTGGAGACAGGAGGTGAGAGCTGGACCCAGGCCACACATGTAAGGGATATAAGGTTCTGATCTGCATTTGACACTCCACTGCGCTTTTCCATCACACTCGGGCAATATCTCCTTTACATATTACCAGTGCGGATGAGATGTCCGGCCTCCATCAGCAGCACCATGTCAGCCTTCTTCAGGTATTCAGTGCGGTGGGTGCACAGCAGCCGTGTAGTATGGCTTAGCACTCCCAGGATACACCTGTGCAGGAGGTGGTTGGCCACATCTGCATCCACAGCAGCCAGAGGGTCATCAAGGAGATAAAGTGTCTTCTCCTAGAGAGTGGACATATATAGGCACCTGGGCCCAAGTCCTCTGACTGGGAGGTTGCCCTAGACCCTAGTCTCAAGGCAGTCAGTAAAGACAGATGAGAACTCTGTAATAGTAGTGAAGGAGGAGAGATATGGACTTTCCTCCAATTGTGGAAAGCCAGAGACTGGGGCTGGTGCTTTGCTGGCTCCCAGTGCCTCAGGCCTTTACTTCTGCCTTCAATCTGAAAAGGGGACAGAATGGCCAATAACTCCAACAACATGGAACGGAGGAGGAAGAAACCAAAGGCAGATGAAGATATCCCTAGCCCCTACTCAGCCAAACTCCCACAGTTCTGGACCACCTCCACATTCCTGCCCTGCCATCCCTGCTTTAACATACCTGGTACACAGCACGAGCAAGGGCAATCCGGGCCCGCTGTCCCCCACTGAGGGTCACACCCTTCTCCCCCACCTCTGTCTGGTCTCCAGCAGGCAGGATCTGAAGGAACAGGTACCCCAGTGCTCATTGAGCTCCCTGCACCTTTTACCGTTTCCTACCCCTTTGCAGGAGACATGGAAGTTGGGGGGACTTAGAAGCTTGAGTCTGGACTTAAGTTTGGGACAAGTGAGTCACGGGAGCTAAGCCCTAACTTCAACACCTGGCGCTTTTTTTTTTTTAAATATTTTGTTTTATTTTTTATTTATTTATTTATTTTTTGTCTTTTTGAGACAGGGTCTCCCTGTAGCCCCAGCTGTCCTGGAACTCACTATGTAGACCAGGCTGGCCTCAAACTCACAAAGATCTGCCTGCCTCTGCCTCCCAAGTGCTGGGATTAAAGGCGTGTGCCACCACACCTGGCTATTTTTATTTTTTATTATATGTGTATGAGTGTATTGCCTGCATGTATGTGAGTGCACTCATGTCGTGCAATGCGGAGGTCAGAAGAGGGTTTCGGATTCTCCTGGAACTGGAGTTAAGCACGGCTCATAGCCGCCATGTGGGTGCTGGTAATCAAACCTGGGTCCTCTGCAAGAGCAGTTAGTGCTCTTAACCATTGAGCCATCTCTCCAGCCCCAACACCTGGCATTTACTGAACACTTTCTACATACTTTGCACCTTCCAGGTATTACCACATCCAAAGTCCACAAAAATCTTAAGAAGGTGGTATTATTTCCTCATCAAAGACAAAACCAAGGCATAGGTAGGTTAACCACCTGGAAGGGGGCAGGGAGGTTGGGTAGAGAAATCACAGGAAAAATCTGACCTTTCTCTGATGCATTTAATACCTGCTTTGTGGATATAGAGGAATTTAACAGGCTTGGAAGCTTTCTCTAGGTTTCTAAGTAAGACCTTGATTCTTCTAAACCTCCTAATTGGGAGGAGGGGAAGGGGAGGGTCCCGAATAGGAACTGTGGTCCCCCAATTCCTGTGTAGAGCCTTACAAGGAACCCTTACCTAGCCCCAGAGGCCTCAGGGTTCTCCCAGCTGCTGTATGGAACACTCAGGTCCCCCTCCCTCTCATGGACCCTATAGAGAAATGGAGACCAAGCATCTGGGCACTCTGAGAGAACCAGAGCCTGAGGGCTTAGCCTAGATGAATGATGCCTGTGTGGAAGCCCTTCATGGAAAAGCAAGTCTGTGGTTTGAGGTGTTAGGGTAGGGGCATGGGGAGAAGCAGACAGCCAGTGGTGTCAAGACAGGCACTCACGCTGAGATCGTCATTGAGAGCGCAGGCCTCCAGCACCTCCCTGTACAACTGGGCATCAAATGCCTTCCCAAAGAGGATGTTGTCTCGGATAGTAGCAAACTGGATCCAGGGCTCCTGAGTGGCCAGGCCAAAGCCCTTAGACAGTCCCAATACTGCAACAGACCCATGCAGCCTGCAGAGAGCCAGACCAGCATGGGAACCAACTTCTTACTCAGCTCCCCCATGCTCAGCCCATCTCCCAGAAGCTTCCTCAGATAGGTGCGCTCTATGCAGCATCTTCTTTTCATGTTACATGTGTTTGAGCTGACAGTCTCTGAGGTCAAGGGGTCCTAATGAAGCTGTAGGCTCGTTAGGGACTAGAAGAAACTGCTCTTTGGCTACAGCCCAGCAGCTGTCCTGTCTATACACTGTGTAGCTCTAGTGAGGTATGGCATATCCTCACCTACAAGCCAGGCCTCTCTCAAACCATCACTCCTCTCTGGACCTCTTCCCTACACAGCCACATTTTCAGAAAGGACAGCTGACAGCAGATGGTACTTCCTCTTCTGTTTTACCTTTCCTTTTTGGCACTGTGACATTTTGGTGTGACAGTGATGGAGATTCTTTCTTTCATTTATTTATTGTCTTGTCTTCTCAAAGACAATGTAGCCTCATGTTGCCCAAGCTGGCCTGGAACTTGTTATGTAGCCAAGGATGACCCTGAACTTCTGATCCTCCTGCCTCTACCTACTGAGTCCTGGGATTATAGGCTTGTAACACCAAGCCCAGTTTTATGTATTACTGGAGATCAAACCCAGAACCTTGTACATGCTAAAGCAAGCACTCTACCAACTGAGTTACTTCCCCCAGCCCAGATTCACTTTCTGAATTGCCTCTGGTCTCCATGCTGAAAACTCCCCCGAAAGGGGCTGTATCTTGCCCTTCTTGGAACATGTGCCCTCTCACCTAAAAGGTGTCAAACATACAGCAGAGGCCCAGTAAAGGGCTACTGAGGGGCAGAATCAGAAACATGGGTACACTGCTGGAGGTTCATTACCTGTGGAGCTCCCCGGTGATGGCGGCCAACAGGGAACTCTTTCCACAGCCCACCTTCCCCACGATGCCCACCAGCATACCCTGCCAAGAAGCCACACAATAAGTGCCAGTTTGGAGGGGAAGGACAGAAGGGATAGTGGTCTCCTTCATGAAGTTCTGGGCTGCCAATCTCCCAACCAGTGCTTCTCTGGGTCCCAGTAAGTCTTCAGGAAAAGATAATCTACACACCACAAGCAATGTTGCCCCAGTGACTGACTGCATCTGACCCAGAGAGGCAGCAAGCTTTATTCTTAGTTGCAATCAGTTTCACTGACTGTACCAAGAGCCTCTGAGGGGAAAACTTGCCAGAGAGGAGAGGAAAGTGCCTAGGAATTCCCAAGATGAGCATTCCGGGGGGGAAGGATTCCTGGTTTTGGGGCCACTGGGCTGAATTCCATTTCCCATTTTTCGGGCAAAAAGCAGTGCTCTGTCTACATGCCCTTCCTGAGTCTGAAGTTTAACTATTCGGTTATTCCTTTGTTCTCAGCTGCAACTTCCATTCACATAGCTAACTTTCTGCTCAGAAAGACAGTCTCCCCTAGAAATGAGCAGAGGTCTTGGCAGCTTCCTCTACGATGCCCACACTGTGAGAGCCATGACTGACCCATCTGGCTGATCTGTGACCTTTTTGGGAGCATGGGATCAGGTCTTGGGCAGCAGGAGCTCTTACTGGCTGTAGTCTGCAAGCTGAAGGCACTCTTCAGTCACACTTCAGCTCAGTGGAGTAGGTACACAGAGCAGTGGGCAGAAGGCCAGGAGCTTTGCAAGTTGAAGCCTGGTTCTGGGCTGTTTCTAAGATCTGGCTGCGTTCTTGCTTTGGATTCTGCAATTCATCTTTGTATTCTTATTACAAATTCTTGTTTGCTTAAGCTAGCTCCAGTGGGTTTCTATGACTTGTAGCTATATCTCTCTATATATAAAGCCCCAACACATTAGTAAAATTCCTTTGAAAAATTCCAGCCTTGTCTTGCCTGAACTAAGAAGAAAAACAAAACATACAACAAAAGCCAGAAATATGAGCCAAATGTGGTGAAGGCAATTCAGCCATCACGAGAGAACTCTGTGTCAAGATGTGCAGCAAAGGGTTGGACAAAAGTCAAGAGTGAAAACTCAGGACGACCGGGGTGAACAGGAGTCACATTCTTGATAAGAATGCTCCCATTATAAATTCTTTGACTATGTATGCCACATCATAAGTCACAAGGTATGACTGGCTTTTCACTGGGCTAAATGGGGGGGATCACCTGGGCCACTTGTGAAATTCTTTGGAAGGGGTTGCTGAGCTTGTCTCCCAAGTTCCTAGCCTGAGGTCTGTTCTGAATCCTGAAGCCAGCAAGGGACAGTGGAAGGAAAAGCAAATACATTCATGAACTGGGTGGATATGAGCTGCCTAAACCAGGGAAAGATGTGACTGGTCTGAAAAGCTGGTGAGGAGTGAGATGCAGACATGAGATGTCATCTCCTTTCAGACTGGAACCTGCCCACCAAACCCCACCCTTCCCTCCCAGGAGAGCTGCGTGGTCATGCAGTATGTATAACTGGCTCAGTCCCTATGTATCTGGGCATCTTCCTTCTTGTCTGGGGACTCTTCCCAGGGTGTCTGTCCCATGAACCTTTTTCACTTCGAGGTGACTGATGAAGGTCTCCTGACTGATTCCAATTGGGTCCCAAGAGAAAAGGACTTCATGCAGCTCCAACACTGTAGATGGCTCTGTGGGGGGATCTGCACAGGGAAGAAGCCAGTTATCCTGTGCTCCTCTCATACCACTAACCTGCTAGACTGTGAAGGTATAAACTAGTGGCATGTCACTGAATCATCTGTTCCTTATCTACCTTTCCAGAACTAATTCAGTCTCAGTCTGAGTCTATTCTGACTGGATTTTACTCTTGACTCTTCCAGGAACATCTATGCATATATTTATGCACATAAGAAGCTATATCCCCCTCCTCACCTTGTGCTGGCTTCTGCCCTCTAGCTTCTCCTTACCTGGGCTGTAGTAGGTCTGAGGGTTATACTTTGGAAGGTCAAGGAAATGCTGGATCCGGTCCAAGGATACTTTGGACTCCAAGAGGCCATTGATTACCCAGGGGAAGTTGTTGAGGGGAAGAATAAGCATGCGCACCAGAGCCAGAGCCGTGAACACCTAGGTGGGAGAGAAGTGAGGCGTTACCTAAAGCTTGCTCTAAGGGTGGCCCTGTAGACAGGCCTATGGAGAAAAGATAGCCTATGGGTTATCCTGGGGTTAGAAATGGCACAGGTGGCCACTCTAAGAATCCTAGAAGTTTCAAATGTTCCTTTGGAGATCCAGGTTACTGTTTTTGGTGCTGGTGATAGACCCTACAGCCTCACACACGGTAAGCACTGGTTCTCACAAAGGGCTACACACCCCAATTGCCCAAGCCTAGGTCACTATGAAACTTCCTCATAATCTTTTTTTTTTTGAGACAGGGTCTCCCTATAGCCTCAGTTGGCCTGGAACTCGATATGTAGACCAGGCTGGCCTTGAACTCACAGACAACCGCCTGCTTCTACGGGAGTAAAGGCGTGTGCCACCATGCCTGGCATTCTTCATAATTTCTAAGTGACAACATCACTTGGTCCTGCCCAGACCCAACAATAGATTATAGATTTTTACCCCCTCTAAAGTCATAGGAATGGGAATAAAAGGGCCTAACCTCAGTGTGGGGGCAGCCTGGACTCACAGGAAGACCTTGTCTTAAAAACAAAAAAAAAAAACAGGCACCTTCATCCCCCAAAGAGACTTAATCCCAAGTCTGAGCCTGACTGGAAATTGAAGAGGAAGGGAGGAGAAGAAAAGGAATTCTTTTATATACACAAAAAGGATTATATATCCAAGGTCACAGAAAAAGCTCCCTTCAGAGACTATCCCCTTAGCTGGGGTCCTCCTTCCTCCACCCCCCCACCAATCCCTGCTAGCACTGAGGGGCCCCCCCACCAATCCCTGCTAGCACCGAGCCCCCCCCCCACCAATCCCTGCTAGCATTCGTGGGCCCGAATGGAGACCCACGTCTCCATTCCTTCCAAGACCCATCCTCTCCCTCCCCAGTTCTCACCTTGGTGGCAGTGAGCTGGTGCCCCATGAGGACATAGGTGATGAAGATGAGGATGCAGACAACAACTGGTAGAGCAGCCCACAGGTATACACAGGCTGCATCCAGGTATTTGATGACACGGAGTCGCCCCAACTCTTGAGACCGGCAGTCCTTTACTCGGGCCCCCAGCGCCTGCTCCCACCCGAAGAATTTGATGACTCGAATGCCACTCAGCAGCTCTGTCATGAGCTGGAGACAGGAACAAGAGAGTGGTGTCAAGTGGAGACACTGCTCACCTGCCTTCTCTGCCTGGATGTTGGGTGGGATCTCCAGCTGGCTGAAGGAGCCCAGCAGCCCCTCACCTTAACCCGTGCATCCTTGTGCTGTAGCATCTGCTGATTGCTGGCCATGATGCGGGTGGCAATCACTTTGTTGACAGGTACCAGCAGCAGTGCCAAGACCAGCCCAGCCATGAAGGCCATGCCCACCTGCTGGTACAGCAGGTAAAGGGTGATGGCCAGCTGCAGGGGCAGACCCCAGGCTTCATGGAAGCTGCTGGCGAAGTTAAGTAGCCGCTCAGAGTCGGTGCCTAATAGATTCAGGGCTTCCCCAACAGGAGGGCGGCTGGGCCCCAGCTGCAAAGTTTTGCGGTAGAAGAGGCTCAGCACAGCCATCCGTGCCTGAAGTGTCACCTTACGTACCTCATACCCATACTGATTCTGCAGTATAGCACTTAGCACAGCCCCACTGGCCAGTCCCAGGGCATAGAGCAGGCCATGACTCAGGGGCTCTTGTCCTTCCTCCAGGAAGCCCACCAGTAGAGAGAGCAGCAGAGGCCCGGAGAATCCCAGCATGGTCCCCACCAGCTTCAACAGTCCAAGTGCCAGGTAGCACCATCCAAAGGCCCTATACAGGGCCCTCCACAGCTGAGTTCCCTCCTGCCAGTGTGCTTGGAAGGCACGGGCCAAGTAGGCAGGATGCAGCCTGCGGGGGAGGCGGCAAGTGTCCTGTGGCTGCCGGAGCTCTCCTCGGACCCCTCGGGTAAGCAAAGGCGCCAGCCAGGCATAGGAAAAGCGTGACAGCCAACTCTCTCCATCTTCAGCCACCTCAGTTTCTTGACTCTCAGAGGACAGGAAGGGTTCCTGAGTCCATGGTTCTTGTGGTCCTCCAGGGGCTGCCCAACCCAGTCCATAGGCCAAGACTGCTGCCAGCTGCAGAATGAGAAGGCATACACGGCCTAGGGGCCCCGGGAGAAGTGGGGGTAGAAATGTACCTCTCTGGCAGTGCCACAACAGGGTCAGCACTAGAGCTGGGGCTGGCAGAAAGGCTGCCAGAGCCAAGGCCAAGGGCCCACGGGAACGGCCATGAGGGGAATGAATCAATGCCCATAGGGTCAGGCTATGGGTGAGCCAGGCCACAGCCGCCACACACCCAGTCAGCACCTCTAGCCCTATGGGCCCTGGGCCTGCCCCTGGTGGAAGAGCAACTGGAAGGAGGTCTAGCAGAGGGAAGACAGAGAGAAGGAAGGAAGCTGCAAGCCGGAGGCGCCAGCCAGGACTGAATGGTAGGATACGATCTGCAGTCCTGGGGAAGAGAGAAAGGAGGCACATCATGGCTGACTCAGGGCTCAGACATGCCATCACCTCCAACAAGTCACTTACCCAGAGGACATGAAATCCCTTTGCTTTCCTGCACATGGGATCCCTGCCCTATTTTATCTTAGAACCCAGGGCCCTTCTTCCCAGGAAGTCTTGGATTGCCCAATCCATTTTCTAATCTACCCATGGGCTTTCTGATTCATTCTTTTACTGCAGGTACTAACAAGTTTGTATTAAGGTTGTACCTATCATGAAGATTCTAACTAGAAAAAAACTTAAAAATTTACACAGGGATAAACACTTTTTTTTAAAGAACCCACATGAGATTATCTAAAATCATCTGAAGCATTCTGAGATAAAAAATCTGACTTAATAAGTAGCTTCTGTAGGAGAGCCAAAATTTTACAAAATCTCAGAATATTCCATGCTTGTCTTTCCACTGAATGTAAAAATGGTGTGGAGTATTTGTGACTCCTTTAGCTAAGGAAGAATCTTGTTGAGTTCTGTCTATATTGTCTAGGCATGCAGAAATGTTTTTAATAAACAAAAGGTTCAAATTAAGAATCAAAAACAGGAGCAAGGAAGATAGCTGAGTGGTTAAGAGCTCTGGTTGCTCTTGTAGAGGACCTGGGTTTGGTTCCTAGCACCCACATGGCAGCTAACAGCTATCTGTAACTCCAGTTCCAGGGGATCCAATGCAATTTTCTGGCCTCTGCAGGCACTGCATGCACATGGTACCCTTACATGGATGCAGGCAAAACACTCATACATGTAAAAAGACAAATAAAAATTTCAAAAGAGATACTAAGAACCACCAATTTAGAAAGATTAAAAAAAAAAGAGCAAATATAGGTTGGGTATAATGGTGCACACTTGAGATCCCAGCAGTTGGGAGGTAGGACAGGAGGATCAGGAGCTCAAGGCCAGCATAAGCCACTTGACACCCTATTGCAACAACTCCTCCCCACCCCAAAAGAATCAAATATAGAGCCAGGCATGGTGCTGCACACCTGCAATCCTAGCAGTCAGGAGGTGGGCAGAAGAACTGGGAGTTCAAGGTCAACCTAGGTTATACAACACCCTGTCTCAATATCCTCTCCCCCAAAAGGAATCAAATACAGGACCAGGGCGGCAGAGGCACAAAGATCTCCATGAGGTGGAGGTCAGCCTAGTTATATAGGGAGTTCTAAGCTAGCCAGGGCTATGTAGCAAAACTCTGTCTCAAAAAAAAAAAGCCAAATACAGAAAAAGATCTTTAGCAGTGAATATCATATAAAAAAATAAAACTGAAGGCTGGGTACAGTGGTCCATGCCTTTAAGTCCAGCGCCTGGGAGGCAGAGGCAGAGGCAGGTGGATCTCTGTGAGTTCAAAGTCAGTCTGGCCTACATAGTAAGTTTCAGGTCAGCTAGGGCTATATAGTGAGACCCTGTCAAAAAGGAAAGAAAGAAGGAAGGGAGGGATGGAGGAAGGGAGAAAGGAAAGGGAAGGAGAAAGGAAAAGAAACAGAGAAAGCTGAGCAGAGCAGCTCACAACCATCTGTAACTCCAGTTCCAAGGGATCTCACACCCTCTTCTGCCCTCTGCAGGTACCAGGCACACAAGTGACAGACATACATACAATACGTAGATTAAACACTCATACATAAAATTAAAAAAAGAAAGAAAACTGAGAGCTGTGTGTGTGGTGGTACACACCTTTAAACCCAGCACTCAGGGAGACAGAAGCAGGCCATGTATACATAGTAAGTTCCAGACCAACCAGAGATCCTGTAAAGAAAGGGAGGGAGGGAGGGAGGAAGGAAGGGAGATAAGAAAAAACCCAGACCAAAAACTGAGTCTGTTACACTCTTTGGGATGCTGAAAAAGTTTAGCTGTGAACTAAAATACTTTGGTTGGCTTTTTTTCCTCACTTTGAGACAAGGTCTTACTACACAGCCCAAGCTGGCCTTTAACTCTAAGGTTCAAATGAGCCTATCTCAGCCTCCTGAACAGCTGAAACTGTAAGCATGTGCCACTTGGTCTAGCTAGGACTTGGTCAGTTTTTAATAGCTCTTCCTCTGAACAGGCCACTGGTGTCTCTGAACTAACCTTCTCTATGTAGACTTTTTGCCTCAATCTACATAAGAGACAAATCAGGATTCCTCCCAGACTAAGCAGGTCTGCTGTTTCTCCTACCCAAGGCAAGGATACATTAGCTCCTTAATCACCCTTGGATAGAGACACTTTCCTCTTCATCAGACTAGGAACTCCCAGAGGCAGAGACCAGACTGTTCTTCTGCCTCCTTAGCCGACAGGGCAAGACTAACTTGGTCATCCAAGAACTAAGTACAAAATCAAGGTTTAGCGCACCAATATTTTCCAATTCTAAATCAAGTAAGTGCTAAGGTTTTGATTTTGTTCCTTCTTTACCTATTTCCTCTTCATCTAAGTCTACATCTGCTTTTAGCTCAGGGATACCACGGTTTCAAGACTGTTAGTGGTGAACCAACACACTAACTTAAACACAAATTATCTTTTTGGCTAAAATAGTCACCCAATTTTGCTTCCAATTCATGGCAGTTATATTTGGATATCTAAAAATCTCCAACAGTGCTGCATTGAGACTTTAAGGATACGCCAGATACCGCATTATACGTTTAAATTTAAGCCTTATTTCATTTAACCCTTTCAACACTGTTATGAGACTCAGAGAGGGGAGGTAACTTGCTCAAATAGGTGCTACTACTCAGCTACCGCAGAGACCTTGCAATTCTGCAGACACCAAGGAGAGATGTGAGTTGACGGCTGGCTGCAGTCTCTACCCACCTCGGGGTGCCCAAGTAGCAGGCACTGAGCACAGCGAGGAGCGCGTGGGGCAGGGCGCTGAGCACCAGCTGGGTGAAGCAGTGGCCCGTGGTGCCCGCTTCCCACAGCGGGAGCGGCACCGCCGCATCGGTGCCACACAGCTGAGCCAGGAACCGCTCCATAGACCCCTGACCTGCGTGGGAACCGAGGGGGACAGGCACACAGTGAATGAGGCGGGGGTACCCAGGTCTGCAGCCCCAAACCCCGCCCTCGAGCCGGGACCCATCCCCTAGCTCCTATCCGGATCCTGACCCCGCCTATTCTCGAGGTACTTCCGGAGCTAGAAAGGAAGTTTCCGTACCCAGAACCGGCATTCTGGTACTCACCCTGCTACTTCTCTTTCTCTTCCCTGGTCTCCAGCCCCCAGGGATCCAGAACCGCAAACCTAAAAAGTTTTGCAAAAGCGCGTGCTACCAGGTCAGGCTCCGTTACTGCCCCCTAGAGGCAGGAAGACCTGTCCGCAGGTGCTGTTTGCCCCGCCCATAAGCAGGCCTTGGCGCATGCGTATAGCTCTCCGCTCGGGGTGGGGGCACGTTTGTGCGCATGCGCCGGTGCAAGAGCAAGGTTGCGTTCCAACGTTCGTTTTCTTGTATTTGGACCCATCTCTGTTCTAGTGCAAGTGAATTTTATAACCTGTCGCGTGGAGTGCTTGTTCCCACTCACCTACTGTTTAGTAGCTGGCACATGCACTGCACTTTAGTGTTCAAAGAGCTGGAAAACTAAACATGCGTACCATACCGGGGAATGCTGACACACGACTTTATTCTTGTCCAAGGCTCCATGAGCTTTGCGGAAGTTACCTATTCTTTGAACCTGTTTCTTTTTGTAAATTAATTTATTTTATGTGTATGAGTGTTTTGCCTGCATGTAAGTTCACCCATGCGTGCAATGCCTACCAAGGCCAGAAGAAGGCGGCTGATACCCTGGAACTGAATTAAAGAAGGTTTTTTTAAGCCGCTATGTGAGTGCTAGGAACCAAACCTGGGTCCTCTGCATGAGCAGTCAGTGCTCTTAACCACCTGAGCTAATCCTCCAGCCCCAAGCCTTTTATTTACTTATATTTGTTTGTTTGTTTGTTTGTTTTCCTTTTTGAGACAGGGTCTCCCTGCAGCTCCAGCTGGTCTGGAACTTTATGTAGACCAGGCTGATCTCCATCTCACAGAGATCTGCCTCCCAAGTGCTGTGATTAAAGGCATGTACCACAAGGCCCTGTGTAAGCCTAATCTTTCTTTTATTTTTAACTTTTATTTTATGTGCATGAGTGTATTGCCTGTATGTATGCAAGTGCACCCATGTCATGCAATGCCGGAGGAATTTAGAAGAGGGCATTGGATCCCCTGGAACTGGAGTTACAGATGGTTGTTAGCCACCATGTGTGTACTAGAAATTGAACCCAGGTCCTGTGGAAGAGCAGCCAGTGCTCTTAAATGTTGACCCATCTCTCCAGCCCCAAGCCTGATACTTCTTTTTTAAAAAATATTTTATTTACTATTTTTATTTTATATGTATGCATGTATTGTCTGTATGTAGTTAAGTGCACCCATGTCGTGCAATGCCCACGGAGGACAGAAGAGGATGTTGGATCCCCTGGAACTGGAGTTACAGACAGTTGTCAGCTGCCATGTGGGTGCTGGGATTCAAACCCGGGTCTTCTGCAAGAACAGCCAGTGTTCTTAACCTCTGAGCCATCTCTCCAGCCTCCAAGCCTGATATTTCTTAATGCCAGGAATTAATGTTCCTACTCTAGAACCTCAGTTTTCAATGAACCTCTCAATGCTAAAGTGAGAAGATTGTCTTCTGGTTACTCCTGAGGGACGCCCAACTCTGAGTCTTCCTTCCCTGTGAGAATAATCTTCTCATCCTACTACACAGGAGCTTCGCCCAGAGTCTCAGTTCTGTCTACCCTGATCCTGCACCATTGGAGGCATCATGTAGGAGGTACAGAACTCCACCTGTAAAGAATGTAGTGTTAGAATCCAGCCTCTCTGCCAGGCATGGTGGTGTACGCCTTTAGTCCTAGCCACTTGGGAGGCAGAGGCAGGCGTATCTCTGTGAGTTCATGGCCAGCCTGGTCTACATAATGAGTTCCAGGCCAGCTGGGACATTGTGAGTCTTTAGCTAACAGACACATGGAGCCAGGATCTTGCACCTAAGAAGTAATGTCAAAAGGGATGTTGGTGCCATATCCTGTTCCCCACACCCTTCCCTGCATCTTGCCTGAGTATCACAGAGCCTGGCTGCAGGCTTGTGCTGTGAAACCTCCCTCATCCTCAGAATGTTATAAGAACAGAGCCCAAGTCTGCCATGTGGGTTCTGATTCCTTGCTGTTTGTCCCTGGTGCTGGGGCCTGAACTCTCCTTGAAGCCCCCAGCCAGGCTGTTCCCCCTCTGTCTGTTTGTCCATGGCATCAAATGTCCTTGTCTAAGAGTTATAGGGCTCAGCATGTAGCTCAGTTGGTAGAGTGCTTGCCTAGCACGAAGTCTTGGGTTTGATTCCCAGCACCAAATAAACTGGATGTGGTGGTACAGGCCTGTAACCCTAGCACTCAGGAAGATCAGAAGTTCAAGCATCCTCAGCTACAAAGTGTGTTCGAGGTCAACCTGTCAAAGAAATATGAAGGGGGGGGGAGAGAGAGAGAGAGAGAGAGAGAGAGAGAGAGAGAGAGAATATTATAGACCCAGGTATGGTACAGGTTTGTAATTCCAGCATTTCAGAAGCTTAGGCAGGAAGATTCAGTTGGAGGCCAGCCTGAGTTACTTAAAATACTGTCTCAAAAAATAAACATGAGGGCTGGAGAAATAGCTCAGCAGTTAAGAACACTTGCTGTTCTTCCAGAGGGCCTGGGTTTGATTCCCAGCACCCACATTTAACAACTGTCCATAACTACAGTTCTAGGGTACCTGATACCCTCTTCTGGCCTCTTTGGGCATTGCACACACATGGTACACTTACATACATGTAGGTAAAACACTCATACACATAAAAAATAAATAAAATATTAAAAAAATATGGGCCATTAAGATGGTTCAGTGTTTGCTATGCAAGTCTGCCAACCTGAGTTTGATTCCTGATGGAAGGACCTGAGTTTGATTCCTGGAACCCACATAAAGATAGGAGAGAACCAACTCCACAACATTGTCCTCTGACCTCCACATGTGTGCCCATGAGCACACTCACACATCATGCGTGCACACACACAATAATAATAAAAATCTAGGAAGAAAGAAAGGAAAGAAAACTATAGAACTCAATCTCTAGCACCCTTTTATTTTATTGGGTTTTTCTTTTGGACAAATGTTGCTATGTAGCCTAGGCTGGTCTCAAGATCATGATCCTCCTCTCTCTAAGTATGAGTGTTGTTTGGTGTATAAGGGTAAAAGTTCTAATGCCATGACCACATATTTAGTCTCTCAGAATGTAACTCTCTATTTAACATTTAATTACAACTGATGGCTCAGGGATTAAGAGCACTGACTGCTCTTGCAGAGGACCAGGGTTCAATTTTCAGAACCCACAACTATCTGTAATTCCAGTTCCAGGGGATCTGACACCCTTTTCTGGCCTCCACAGGCACTGCACAATGTGGGTGCACTTACATACAAGCATTTTCACACACATAAAAATAAACCAAAAAATTTTTAATTCAAAAAAGAACAAATAGCAACAGATGGAGATATCATCAAATTGGATGCTCACTACATCCAGTAGAAACCCCCTGGGGAAGTTTAAGCCGTCAGCTGGAGCTCCCAATTGAACTTTCTCTCCACATATGAACTTGCCATGGCTGAACTTCTGGCTTTTCTTTCCCACTACAAGCACTTTTGTATCGTGGGATAAACTATAGGAACATCTGTTGGGACTGATTTCTCTTGTAGCTGTTCTCAAGGACACGATGTTTCCACTCCTGTGTTGTTTTGTTGTTTTCCACCTTCCCTGTCACAGAGTTAGGGAGGCCCGCTCACCCTCAGTCAAGGATCCTTGAAGCACACTTAGAGACAAACATGCTTCAGTCTGTAATGCAGGTAGGACAGGCATCTCTACTTTCAAAGACAGCTTCTCAGCAAGGTCAAATAATGCAAGACAATTTACCAATATAATGTACTTTACACCTGGGCTTTCATCTATAAGTCTCAAAGGTCAAAGCTTAGGTTTGAGTGTTTTAGAAATACTCATAAAGTAAAAGCCTAACTCCATGCTCTACTCCCCCTCACCCCCTTTATTTCTGCTTTTACTTCAGTTTCTGGTCGAACATTCCTAGCTTCCTTTCATGTATGCATTCAAAGTAATTATTATTATTTTTTGTCTTTTGAGACAGGGTCTCCCTGTAGCCCCAGCTGACCTGAACTCACTATGTAGACCAGGCTGACCTTGAACTCACAGAGATCCATCTACCTCTCCCTCCTGAGTGCTGGGACTACAGGCGTGTGCCACCATGTCCGGCCTTAGTTATTTTAAAAAATATTTTATTATTTTTATTTTATGTGTATGAGTGTATTGCCTGCATGTAGGTAAGTGTGCCTAAGTCGTGCAGTGCCTGAGGAGGACAGTAGAGGGCGTTGGATCTCCTGGAACTTGAGTTACAGACAGTTGTTAGCTGCCATGTGGGTGCTGGGATTCAAACCTGGGTCTTTTGAAAGAACAACCAGTGTTCTTAACTGCTGAGCCATCTCTCCAGTCCCACATTCAAAGTATTTTATCCACCAATTTATTATTCTGAGTGGGAAGATAAGCCACTTAGACTTATTTCACCATGCTGCAGAAAAAAAGTTGAATTTCATGTAACTCTTCTATTCTTTTTTTAGACAAGGTCTTACTATATGGCCCTGGCTAGCCTGAAATTCATTGTATAGACCAAGCTGGCCTTGATCTCACAAGATCCACCTATCTCTGCCTCCCAAGTGCTGGGATTAAAGATGTGTGCTACCAAACCTGGTTTATTTATTTATTTTTGGTCTTTTTTGAGATGGGGGTCTCAGCTGGCCTGGAACTCGCTATGTAGACCAGACTGGCCTCAAACTCAAAAAGATTCACCTGCCTCTGCCTCCCAAGTGCTGGGATTAAAGGCATGAGCCACCACGCCCAGCTTGTATTGTCTTTTTTTTTAAGTTATTTTTATTTTTTTATGTGTATGAGTGTATATATGCAAGTGCACCAGTGTCATTCAATGCCTGCGAAGGTCAGAAGAGGATGACAGATCCTCTGGAACTGGCATTACAGATGGTTGTTAGCTACCATGTGGGTATAATTTATATAACAAGATTCACCAATTAAATATATAGTTCAATGAGTTTGATAAATGTATATACCATGTAACTCCCATCACAATCAATGGACAGAACATTTCCATCACCCCAAAAAGTAGATCTTCATGCCTGATCTACTTTCATTGATAAAATACCCTGACAAAGAGCAGCTCTGAGGAGAAAGTGTTTATTTGACTTACAATTCTAGGCTATGATCCTGGTTTGGG